ACATGTGTTCACTGCTTCCAAGTTTCCCCACATATTCCTTGACAATTTTCATAAACTACATGGTACTTCCAAGGTGATAGTCTCAGATCATGACAACGTATTCACAAGTCTGTTTTTAAGGGCACTCATGAGATTTTTGGGAACTACCTTACATTCAAGCTCTACATACAACTCACAAAAGGATGGGCGATCAGGGAGACATAATCAATGTTTGCAGTCTTATCTCTAATGCATAATTCACGAGAACTTGAAGGCATGATCAAGATGGATAAACCTCGTGAAATGGTGGTATAACTCCACCTACCACTCCAGCATCAAGATGTCTCCATTCCAACCATTGTATTGATCTTCTCCCTGCACTTTGTCGACACTGTGGAGATTGAGACTCCATCAGCTGAGCTAGAAGTTTTTCTAGATGAGAAATAGCAGATGAGTGTGTTGCTTAAGCAACAGGTGACAGAAGCTTAGAATTAGGAAGAAGCAGTATGCATGTCTGCATAGGATTGAGAGACAAATTTGAGGAAAAAGACTTGTGTTTCTCAAATTACAGTCATACAGGCTTATTCCAAAAAAAAAAAAAATTACAGCCATACAGGCAGCAGTCCCTAGAAGGAAAAAGGAATTACAAATTGTCCCCAAGGTTTTATGGCCCTTATGAGGTGGTGAGTAGAGTATTCTGGTGGCTTACCGGCTTAAGTTATCAGACAAGGGAGGGTACACACTGTTTTCCATGTATCCTTATCATATTCTAGGGAAGCAGAAGTACACCGAAGAAATGTCTAACACTGAAAACAACGATAGAAATTTATTGATTGAACCTGAATTCTTCTGCAGAAGAGAACAATCATCAAGAAGAGAAAACAGATAGAACAATTTTTAATAAGGTGGAAAAGACTGGATAATAGCGGGAACACTTGGGAAGATGTCCAGTATCTGTAACAGTGACTTCCTCATATAAACCTTGAGGACAAGGTTTTTTCTCTAGGGGACATAATTGTCCCTACCAGGGCTCAAGGTTTTAGTGTACCCTATACATAAAGTTTATATATTCACTCACTGATTTGTAAATATTTCTGTACATGGGCGGCACTCCCTTGGTGCCTCTGACTTAAAATACTATTTATACTTTTTATTTCAAATAAAAGAATGGTAAGAAATATGGGCTTGAAAGCAAAGTAGACAAACCCTTATTAGTATACAAAAGGCATACAGGTACAAGCGGATGTGGCAGTTGTCCAGGGTTGAGTAGGGAATAAAAAGGTGGCCTACACATTGCGTTTGGTTAGGGCTCCTTTTTCTGTTGTAACCAATTTTATTATGTTTAGATTTCTTGATTGATTCTGGTAGAGTATACAAGCTTGTAGTCTGAATTCTCAGGTAAGACGACTAATATCCAAAATCTATCTAATTCGGTATCCTTGCCAAGTTTTCTCTCTTCTCTTCTCTTACTTTTTCTTATCTCTCTTCTCCTTCCTATTTCTCTCATCTATTCTCTTCCATTCTCATAACCTAAACCGCCATCGGTGCACATGTCAAAGATTCCTGACAGTAGTTCTTAAGCCTCACTACATACTACTTCTAGTTCCAAATTCACATTTTAGATCTCTCTTCTTTAAGCATATAGCTCACCATTTTATAAATGCTAATCAATATCAACTTCTCCTCTTACTTCAACATAGTAACAACATATCATATAATCAAATCAAACAATTAATATAACTACTTGTCAGTCTAGACAGCCTAATCTCTAAGCAGTACCAAAATACCAAGTGAAACATGTTCAACAGAATGAAGAATATAGAATTTATGTTTCACAAAAATATTACCTTGGACTTCCTAAAAGTATGTATTAGCAAAATGGGGCCATATAATCCAAATCATGTAAGTAGAGAAACATGTCGTTGCAAATAACATTTCAAACAACGGAAAAAAATTTGAGAATTTGGAACCTCCATGAAGCTTTTGTAAACAGCCAAATATAAGCGATCACATCTGGGTGTCCTTCGTCAACTTGAAGTTCCTTTGCGATTATCTCTTCCCAAATGCTAAACATAGATCCAACTTCATTAGCAATCCGGTATACATGAAATGGGAGATCACC